AGTGGCGGGTCGAGTATATTCATTATGGCTTGAGCAGGAGGATTGTGCTTTATTTGATTATGCTTCCGTCGAATTGATTTTTCGATTTCAGTGGCTGGTCGAGTATATTCATTATGGCTTGAGCAGGTTGATTATGCTTTATTTGATTATGCTTCCGTCGAATTGATTTTTCGACTTTAGTGGCGGGTCGAGAATATTCATTACGGCTTGAGCAGGTTGGTGGTTGATTTTTTTTCAAAGGAATATACAACAGGCTTGAATCTTAAACTTTGAACTGAGGGGTGATAGGACGAGGTGGTATAAGGGAACTCGAACATGGTGATCGAAACACAACAGACGTAAATTCAAATTTTCAAATTAAAGACTTCGATCAACGGTCTCTCGACTCGCGGTTTTCGACCTCAACGGTCTCGACTCTCGGTTTTCGACCTCAGCGGTTTCGATTCTCAATTTTCGACCTCAGCGGTCTTGATTCTCGGTTTTCGATCTCAACAGTATCGACTCTCGGTTTTCGACCTCTGGCGGCCTTGATTCTCGGTTTTCGACCTCAGCGGTCTCGACTCTCGATTTTCGACCTTTTGCGGTCTTTATATTCTCGGTTTTCGACCTCAATGGTCTCGACTCTCGGTTTTTTACCTCAGCGGTCTCGATTCTCGATTTTCAACCTCAGCGGTCTTGATTCTCGGTTTTTTACCTCAATGGTCTCGACTCTCGGTTTTCGACCTCTGGCAGTCTTGATTCTCGGTTTTTTACCTCAGCGGTCTCGATTCTCGGTTTTTCGACCTCTTGCGGTCTTGATTCTCAGTTTTCGACCTCTTGCGGTCTTGATTATCGGTTTTCGACCCCAGCGGTCTCGACTCTCGGTTTTCGACCTCTTGCGGTCTTGATTCTCAGTTTTCGACCTCAGTAGTCTCGATTCTCGGTTTTTGACCTCAGCGGTCTCGACTCTCAGTTTTCGACCTCAACGGTCTCTCGACTCTCGGTTTTCGACCTCTTGCGGTCTTGATTATCGGTTTTCGACCCCAGCGGTCTCGACTCTCGATTTTCGACCTCTTGCGGTCTTGATTCTCGGTTTTTTACCTTAGCGGTCTCGATTC